AATTGCATCCAGAGTTAAATACTATCTGTATTCTATAATTAATTTGTTCTTCAGATGAATCTTTTGAACAAGGATCTAAATTTTCAATTGATTCTTTACTGCTACTAAAATATTCAGGTCTAGTATATAAAACAGTAACTTTATAGTCTTTAACAGTTTTTTTTATTAAGTAGAGGATATTTTTTAAATAAGTGTCCATTTTAGTTACCTTAAAATTTTGCTCACACCAATAGAATGCTGTAATAGTATCAAAAACTAGAAGCGATATGTTTGGATTTTTCATCAATATATTTTCCATGCTTTGTATGCTAGTATAAAATTGGGTGGGTTCATAAATATTTAGAATGTATATATTTTTCAGTCCAGAATCTACCAAGGTATCCAAATTATTCAGGTTATTCTTAGAACAGATTCCAGTAATACTTTGTAATCTATTTGAGAGTTTTCGTCTTAACATTTGAGAAAGATCATCTAAATTTAAATTTCCATCAGTATTAAAATACAATAGATTAGCTTCCGCCCCATTCAATTCTGAAGGGATTAATGATTCACTGATCAAATCAATGAGAAGACATGCAGTACTGCATTCACTGTAAAGTTCAATAAAATCCCCGAATCTTGGCCCATTTTCGAATATTTTAGAATGAAACTGTTCCAAATTTGGTTTCTTAGATAAACGCGTTAGCAATTGTATTCCTGATTCAACTCTAAACTTGGCTGACATAATTGCAATTATTCCTGCTTTAAAAACTTTGTTTATTAACCTGTATATTTTTATTACTGTATTATTCTCAACATATATTGACTGTAAAAATCTGTTAACTTTTGTTGCTGTAAACGTAATTGAGAACATTCATCAATGTATCCTGGTTAAAAAGACACTATTTAAAATTAAAATTTAATATTAGTTTGCGACTTTTTTAATTTTTAATGTACACAAACAGATATCAGCATTTATTTGTCATCCATGGTTAACGGACATAATAAAGGACAGACTAATAATAAATTAAAGTAGACTATGCAATATGACGACCGGCGAAATCACAATCTTTATATTTAAGGCTATGTAGACATCATTTTACAAAAAGTGATTTTAAAACTCTTAAATCGTCTACAGATTAATATTTTTTTCGTTTTTGGACTTCTTTATATATTAACTAGCGACTCACCCACCTTCGCTCGGGTTCGTTCTTAAGTACGTTGTAACGGTAAGTATAGAATACGCTATAATACATATATGTACAATGTCCATATATATATTTATAGCCTCTATTTCAATGTAAATAACAATAAACTAATAAATAAACTCTTCGAGGAAAATTTTATAATTAATAAATCAATTATTTTATTATATGTCAAAGTTAAAAAACTAAAAAAAAGTAAATTTGGAATCAATCAAAGAGTATTTATGTAAATAAAATAAACTTACAAAAAAGCACTTGCATATGAAGTATATATATATATATATATTATATTAATATATATATATATATATATATATATATATATATATATATATATATAGCCTAAGTTACTCCTTATGACATTTTTCATTTTCATTAGTTTTTCTTATAAGTACCGTATATCTATACTAATATTATAAAGAGGTAAAGTTTGTGATCTTGTGAGTTTGTGAGTTTGTGACGTTGTAGGGGGTAATCTCTGGATCTACAGAACCGATTTTCAAAATTCTTTTACCAAAAGAAAGCCACGTTCTTTCTGAGTGTCATAGGCTATATATTAACCCGAAAAATGAAAAGGCTTTTGCGTGGTAGTCGGATTTGCAAAGTAAGTCGGAGAAAAAACGGTCGAACGAAAACGTTTCTTACGAACGCTGCCTTAACGATGAGAGATATATGATTATGTTCTAGAGAAAAGTTGTAGAGCTTAATAATGCCTACAAAAAAGTCAGCGACAGCATATGTCTAACTTTTATATTTAAGTCACAAAAAGTAGTTTTTTATATTAATAAAATCATTTAAATCGGTAGGTCATGTTTATTGGTCATATTATCAACAATTATGAATTCTTATCAAAATAAGTAAATTTGTCGTCTAAAATGCATAAAATAAAAGACTTTTCCCTTTTACTGCATATAATTTGGACAAATGGTTAAAGAGATAATACAACATATTCGTATGTATGGACGAACCCGAGCGAGCTGTTTATCTGTTTTTCTCTTTGTACGGGCTAATCTCTTGATCTATTGGACCTATTTAAATGAAATTTTGCATGGTGGTACCTTATATCCCCGGGCAACATCTTAGATACTTTTCATCCTGGAAGATTAAAGGGTTCCCGTGGGATAGTTAAAAAACTATAACAACTTATACATCTTAGTACACAAAAACTACTGATTGGATTTTAATGAAACTTTACAATAATATAGTTCATACATGCCAAAAACAAATCAGCTACTTTTCATCCCGGAAAATTAAAGAATTTCCGTGGGATAGTCAAAAAACTATAGTAACTTATACAGTTTAGTACACAAAAACCACTGATTGGATTTTGATGAAACTTTACAATAATATAGTTCATACATCAGAATAACAAATAGGTAACTTTTTATCCCGGAAAAACGTACTTTTCCCGTGGGATAGATGTTTTTGTTTATTTGTAACGTATTATGTACACAACATAGACCCCAAAACAATAGTTGTTAAAAAAATGTCTGTTTGTCTGTTTCTTTTTTTGTGTGCGCATTTCACGCGAAAAGTAATGTACTAATTTCAACGAAATTTGGTGAAGTGATAACTTATTACTCGAGTCAACATTTAGGATACCTTTTGTATGTATGTATGTATGTTGTATTCAGCCCTACCCTACACACGCACGGGCCTCCCTTCAGTACGCGGTGGATCAGGCCATAGTCCACCACGCTGGCCAATATCAGAGGTGCTAGACCCGGGATTTGAACTTGCTTCATTCGGTTTCCCAAGCGAGCGCGTTACCACTGGGATACCACTGCCTAGATACCTTTTACTTAAAGAAAATCTTTCTTTCCCACGGGAAAATATAATAACTGGTTTTATCGAGTCCTCCCTAGAAACCTGCCTCTGGCTAAGCCTTAAGACATACATCAAAACAATATACTAAAAAATTGTAGGTCTTGAAAAGTAGCCTACAGAAAAGTTCTGAATAGTATATGTCTGTCTCCTAAGTTACACTCGCAATATTTATTCTTATCAATACCTATAATAAAACTTAGTCAATACGATGTGCGCGTTTCATGCAAAAAGTACTCAACCGATTTTAACTTCATTTTGTATAGTGATAAAAATTAGTGCTCGGGTCAACATTTAGAATACTTTTTACGACAGGCAAATTATTCATTCCCACGGGAAAATACAATAACTGGTTCTATCGAATTGTCCTTAGAAATTTATATGGCTAACGTTGGCTCAACCTTAAGAGATAGATCAAAACATTGTACAAGAAAATTGTAAGTCTTAAAAAGGTTTATAGAAAAGTTCTACATACGATAGTATATGTCTATCTCCTAAGGTACACTCGCTATAACTATTTTCATTATTATATATTTCTGTTTTATTATACGTTATTTATTCTATCTGAATATAGGTACATATATAAATAATAAAACTGTAGAGGTCGAATGTCTGTACATAGATGGTAGAAAAAATAGCTAAAAAACGAGTCAGTTCTCCTCTTACATCCCGTAAGGAGAGAAATAGAACAAATCCAGATTTTTTCAATTTTTTTGTATCTTTGTCTGTTTGTCTGTTCGTACGGGCTGATCTCCGATACTATTGAACCTATTTAAATGAAATTTGATACTTATCATTCTGTAAAATTAAAGAGTTCCCGTGAGATAGTTAAAAAATTATAGTAACTTATACAGCTTAGTACACAACAACTTATGCACCTACTTTAGTAAAATTTGGCATGCTGATACCTTATATTGCAGGTCAAACAACAGGTTACTTATTTTTATCCCGGAAAAATGAACGGTTCCCGTGGGATAGATCTGTTTGTGCTTTTCTAGAGGTGAACCCGAGCGAAGCGAGGGTGAGCCGCTAGTACTATATAGTTTCATGTTCATTTAGTAAAAAAAAATTATTTTGAGATTACAAACAGATACTCGAATTTTATCTATATGTATAGCCTTATACTACACTTTAGAGTTTAAAAGATCGAAGCGCAGTCACGACCGCCTTGCTGCGAGTTGCGATAAATGAGCGATTCGGTTCGGCCGAAATGGTCGCACCAGTGCGACTCGAGTCGACTCGATTCGATGCGTTTCTGCTGTAGTCGACGCAAGGCTTAAAAAATAAACTTGCAATTTTAATTTCAGGAAAGACACTTATGTAGCCTACCTACTAAGCTTAAGTAGCAACTAGCAAAGCCCTATTTAAGTACAAATTTGACCCAAATCTTTAGAGGCGTTTCCGAGATACACAAAATAAAATTATATATGTAAAAGAATTACTTATGTATATTATAAGTTTTATTATCTTTGGATTTGAACGCGACTGTGTAACCCTTATATTAATTGGAGCGTAAAACCCTCAGAGCCTCCATACCCTTTTATAACAAAAATTTTATTTTGTAACTTTAACTGTCATTTGTCAAATGTCAATACATTACAGATATCAAACTTATTAGGTACTTCACAAAAACATTGTTTTGAATTTGATGATTGAGGTTTGAGGGTTAAATAGTTTGAAATGTTCAACATTCTTATGATATACGTATTTTCCTACTGAATTTGTTATACATAAACGTTAGATCTACGTGTCGAAGAATATTAATATATTTTGAAAGAAAAAAATCGCATAACAAATGCAGTTTTTTTTCACACCTACAATATGCAATTTTTTTTATTGTTAACGTTATTATAGGTACTGCAAATAAATTTTTGTTCAATAGTGTGTGTTGCGGTTTATTATCGATTAATATAAGCAAAGGTCTTAGATTAATTTACCATTCCATTTTTGTTTTTTTTTCGAAGTGTTAGTAAAAGTTTTCTTCATGACAAAATGTTACTTCCACTTACAATTTTTGGGGCAGCTTTCTTTGGTAGTGGGATCTTTGTGTGGGATACTATTAAATCAAATACTATTTGTCGCTACACTGAATGTTGTGAGGAAAAACATGTGCCTTTTGACTTGAAGAGTATGTATTGAATTAGTTTTTTTATCAATTATTATTTAATAGTTATTTTAATAACTATTATTATAAATTTGTGTGATACTTTTTCAGAACTTAAGTACACTTTCTCTGAAAGAATGTATGGACAACCTTTAGTCAATGAAATAGTGAATATTCTAAGCGCTCATAAAAAAACTTTATATGATGATAGTAAAAAGAGCAAGAAAGCTTTAGTATTAAGTTTACATGGTTGGTCTGGTGTTGGTAAAAACTTTGCTGCTACTATGATAGCTGAAGCTCTTTTCAAAAATGGAATGCAAAGTAAGTTTGTAAAAGTATTTATGGGCAAAAAGGATTTTGACTGTTCCAACATACATAAAACACAAGTAAGTTAAAATGATAAACACATTTTATTGTTTAATTTTAAATGATTACCAAATAATTTTAAATATTACAGGCAGATTTGATCAATAAAGTTAATGAAATTGTAAAAAAATGCCCCCTATCTTTAATCATATTTGATGAAATCCATGATATGTGTCCATCCATTTTGGATGCTATAAAACCAATGCTTGACCATCATCATGCTGTAGATGGAATTGATTACAGGTACCAATTATATATAATTATATAAATATTTTTATATAGTTCTATAATTTTTTATTAGTTTACAAAAAAAATCTATCAATAATGTTATATCTCTTTTATAGTTTTCTTTCCTTTCTTAATAAAGTTAGTAAAACTTAGGTTTCTTATTAATGTTAGTAATAGTAAGATACCTTAATATATTTAGGAAATGTAAGTGAATATTATTTTACCTAATTTGTATTTTCTTATAACTGTAAAATGTTATTTGTATTTATTTTAAGTACAAAAATATGAAAATTGTATTATGAAATTGCAGGAATAGTATATTTATATTCATATCTAATATTGGAGGAAAAGAGATTGCAACCAGCCTTTTAGAATTGTATAGTCAAGGAATCAAAAGGAATGAAGTGGAGTTTCATAACTTTGAACCTATTATCCGAAGAACAGCCTACAGTACTGGTATGATTTTTATATAGTATACCTGCATTTAACAAGTATGGTATTTTAGTAGAAATATAGTATAATATAAATAAGTTTAGTTTAATATAAATATATCATGCAGACTGATTTTGGTGACCAATCTTACAAACATTTGTGCCCAGTAGATATTATGTTACAGAAGTGTGTATGCAAAATCATTTTGATTTTTTAATTATCATAGAAACAGTGATACTAAAGAAAGATTGAATGGCAAAAATGGTTTACAAACTACTTTTATGTATATTTTCTGTAAATTCAATGTCTAGTTTAACTTTAAATGCAGATATCAACTTCACACTAGCTAGTATACAAAATTAGTAGTTTCGTAGGAAGAAACTTAAAATATTGATATTACATATTTCTTTTCAGGTGGCTTTGAGAAATCTTCCACTATTGCACAACATTTGATAGATCATTATATACCATTTCTGCCATTGGAACAACACCACGTTGAAATGTGTGCACTTGCAGAGTTTCGAGCTCATGGGGTTCAGCCAACAGAAGAAATGATGGTGTAAGTTATTAAAATAAATTTCCTGTCTCATTTTTTCTTCCCCTACAATTTTTACATTTGCATATATTTTTTTTTCAGAGATGCTTTGTCAGTTATAACTTATGGGCCAACAGAAGAACAACCTATTTTTGCAAACAATGGTTGTAAACGATTTACAAAACAAATACCTTATGTTATACAAAAGCATAAGGCTAAAACTGAATTGTGATAACCTTAAGTTAAGTTTAAAAATGTTAATGTGAACCTCATGTGTACCTGTTTTTATTTATATCATGTTTATCCATTTGATGTGAAACTTTTTTTGCTTCAAATCTTATGCAGCTCTGTATGCAAGAAGTATTGCAGTTATTTTAAAGTAAAATACTAACAATTGTAATCACATTAATATTACTAATGCCAAATTGTGGATATGTTTGCTACTTCTTCCTCATGAAATCAGAAAGTACATAGATTTTTTAGTTACACTGTAAGTAATAACATTTTTTAAAAGGCAACACTGCCTATGCAATATATTTTAAAAGCAACAACTACCTAGGGACACACCTAAGCAAAGAAATATATTTCTCTAGTTACTCATTAATCTGTATTTAGTAGACATCAGTGATTGTAGCCAAATTGAAAAAAAAAACAATCTATTTCACCTGTTTGTGGCCTTAAATGTATAAATAATGAATTATTTTGTTATATCACTGATTTCACTTTAATAACTTTTTAAATTACTTATCCATATCAATAAAATTAACTGCATTGGTATAATGCTGTGTACTTTTTTTTATTTTTAAATAAAAGAATAATTCAAGGATTATGGTCTTTATTGTTGTGTTTAAAGATTTACTGTAATTAATAATTTTGTTAAATCCCATTATTTTCAGTGAATAAGATATTTTAAGCATAAACAAAGCCCATAAAATGTTATTTAGCACAAGCAAATATGTAAAAAGTTATCAGGGTAGCTCATATGTTCGGAGAGCCACTGAAGTGGTGTATCTAAGGGTATTAAGATGCCATGGGTTCTTAGTTTGACTGAAATTTAAAACAATTACATATTATAGATTACATATTTCTTTTGGATATGTGATAAATATCAAAATTATACAAGCCAGTATAGCTAATTATAGAAGCTAGCCTGATGATTACCTTCAGTTTTGTCTGGATATAATTCAGAGATTAGCTGTTGAACAATCTTTCGACTGCCATCAGTATTTCTAGGGCTAATTAGCCTCTGGCAACATATACCATCTTCTGAGTATATTCTTATTGGAATTTGTTTAAAGCCTTCATTATCCCCATGAGATTCCATTAACCTTCTGTTTATAGCCCAAAATTGATCGAATTTATCTACAAAAAGAGGTAATATTGTTTACTTATACATACATAGATTGTTATGTAAAATTACAAAAAATTAATGTAAAATAGTATACCATTTTGTAAACCTAGCCATAATTGATTATGGTCTTTCTTTTGCATAGTTGACATAACTTGCCCTCTATGCTTAAGAACATCTGCTTCTTTTACAGTAGACATATAGTGTGCTTCAACTACATCTCTAAACAGTGAACAAAAAAATGTAATATTAGAAATATATAGTAATTCTAAAGATAAAAAAACGAAAGATTTAATTAATTATGGTTTAAGCAATTCTTTATAACTATATCTATGAACTAAACATATAATAAAATTGTAACTAAGCCGAATCTGTACATCAAATATTTTTTAGAAAGTCTTATTGAAATAGACATTATTATCGATACAGAGGCTGAATCTATAGTTTTTAGAATTTTTGTCTGTCTGTTACCGCTTCACAGAAAAAACCACTGGAGGGATTTTGATGAAATTTGATATGATGGTAGCTGGTTATACGGGTCAACATATAGGATACTTTTTACTGCAGGAAATTATCTCATTTTTGAGAAAAAATACAAAAACTGCATTGTAAGAGTATACTTATATGTAAAACCTAAGAATCCGGTTTTGGTCATCTGAACGCGGGCGAAGCCGCGGGTAATGCTAGTACTTACATAAGATCAAAGCACATAAAGTAAAAAACGAATATTTACTTGTTTGGGCAATGAAGTAAAATATTTTCAGGAAATTTCGTAAAATGCACCGTTAAAGTCCAAGGTAACTGCGGGTCATTTCCACAAAATAAATCATACAAAAAACCTATGGGATAGTGCCATTTCAGTGGTTGCCCATTATAGTCAAGCCACATTTCATTATCAGCACTTTCTTGTGATATGTACCTTAAGAAATGCCTTTTCATCTGAAACAGTATTACAAAACTGTTAAGGGCAATTTTATAAATAAAAATTATAAAGAAACAACAAAGTAATACCTTATCTATAACCAAAGGAAAATAACTTAGTCGAGGCACCATCACATAAAAGGGGTCTGGTTGCTGTATTTCCATGATTTCTTCTTGGGCTAGTTGAAAACAAATGGGTAGTTTTCCATCCCATATTTCACGCAAAACTTCTCGATCGTTAGCCATTGTAAATCTTGATAAAGTATATCTACAGGAAAAGCATCGCGTCACCGTCCACTCAGTTAATTAGGTTACATAAAATATCGTGGTGATTCGTATTAGAATTTATTTATTTATATACGAAAAGAACACGAAATGTATGTAGATATCTAATATTTATCTCAACATTAAAAAGTTACAGTACAGCTGACTATCTGTCAAATAAAACAAATAGTTTCCATAATCTGTGAAAACAAATCACAATTTACATCATTGATCATGATAATAACCGGCACGCACCAGTCCGGACATCCCAAAATTTTGTACACTCTTTCTCGTACGTACGCTACACAAGATCTGCATCACAGATTAAGTATTAGTTACTACGTAAATCTGCATGTCCATGAAACATTCAATTAGATGAAATCTGTAGTTTATTTTATGGAGGACATCTGAGGTACCCTACCCCAGCCTGCAAATTTATGATATTCGCAATGAAAAAAATACTAATCGATAGATTTTTAATAGCTCAATTCAACTACGTAGCCCTTCCAAATTGCTCACCATTAATTATAAAATTAAAAATCAATAAAGTCCTTGAAAAAAAATTCATTTATCCGTATATTCAAACTCCTATATCTTTTGATGTATACAATATTTCAAATTGCTCAAAGTTCTAAAACACTGCTCAAGTTGCATTTGTAATTGCTCAAGTAGAGTTCTCACCAGCTCCACTTTCCTTAATTATTAAATAAATATAAATAGTTTGAATAAATTTAACGTATAGATAGGTGAGTGCTGCGCATGCGCGCAAACAGAAGTATTATTAAATTATTGATTGCTGATCAGAGTTCAAAATTCCTTTATATTAAAGGCAGTTTATATTCATGCAGTTTGTTTCTTTGAAATAAAAATGTCATTAAACTAAATGTATATTTAAAAATAAAAAAAGTTCCGTCTTGTATTGATGTTAATAACATTTTACTAATGATCCCTGTCATGGCTATTACCTTAATAGAATAAGCATTTGAACATAAGATTTTGTCTTAATTTATCTGTTGGTATTAATTTTCATTTATTGGTAGATTCCAGATCTGTTCTTTATGTTATAATATCTGAAGTGGAATCACGTAATGTGAACAATTCATAAATTCAATAAATTTAAAGAAATCCACCGAGAAACAGAATTAAGACGTTGAATTGGAACGATAGTATATATCAGCCCCGGCCGAGCTCCATACAAGCGCATATTCATAAAACCGAAGGCGAATAAGACGAAGCGGGGGCCGGAGGGGTCAAGATAGTGAAAGAAAGATTTTTCCCGATTTAACCATTATAAATTAAAAATAGCTACATGGGATATGTTAATTAATATCTTATTATATTATAAAATATACTTAAGTTAAATATGCTTAAAATGTTTTTTTTTATAAATCATATGTGCTATATATTGATTTATATAATTATATTCTAAATGATTTTAACTATTATCGAATATCTTATATTTTAATTATATTTCATATCAAACATAAAATATCTATTAACATAGGTTTTTATGTTATAAAAATTGATTTATATTTTAGAGCTGTGTCATGAATTTGCCTTAATATGGGGACAGTTATGGCATAAATGGCAAGTCAAAATATGCTGTCACTTTCACGGCTATTGTATTTCTTTTGAGTCGCCACGCATCTCTTTCTAAGGGTATGACGTCATATGCGAATCTGGGAGAATTTAGTTCGTAGTGATGTAAAAATCGGTATTCATTACGATTACGATTAAGTAGGGATGTATTTTATCGTAATGTTATCGGTATTCAACAACTGTTATCGGTTTTATAGTAGGGTTTTCATTTTTATGATATTAATTATAATTAGAAATAAAATACAAAGATAGGTTTCTAGTTTTTTTATTTTACTATTTTAATGCTACCACTAGTTCGGAAAAATGCCTCAGACCTGAGAAGAATTAGCAAGGACTGAGGTCCTTGACGGGATAACCTTTTTTTTCTTAACATTTATAATACATTGTTATTACAATAAAAGGACATTTTTAAAGAATTTTATCAATTGAATACAAAATACAAAAGATAATAACAATGAGACAAAGACTAATACAACGATTTGGTATAAAATATTACAATGCAATAAAATTAGAAGTAACATAGAACAATAGTTTTTGTTAATAACAATATCATATTAAGCGAGTAGTAGGTTTAATTGTAGGTATAAATTAAAATCTAGCTTTTGTTTGAAGTTTTAGCTCTAGAACCACCTTCATCTTCAGTTTATAAAATGCAAAGATTCGAGATTAGCGCATTTGAAAAAACAAACATTTTAATCTTATATAAATTAAAAAAAAATGCAAATTTCAGTAAAAAATGAATAATAAAATTAATTTTCTTAAAAGCTTAAGAAATTTAAAATCAATATGTACATAGTAATAGTAAAAATTTGGTGTAAAAAGAAATAACAGCTAAACATACTCTAAAATAAAATTTCTAAATGCATAGTTCTATCAAATGTAACAATTATAATTAATATATTAAAATTATATACTGCTATAGTAGTATATTTTAAGAAATTATAATATTATTTCACAGAAATCAATTGAAATATTCATACATTATTTTTATACTTAATAGAAACATAATGAAAATGGAAAATTCCAAGTGATTATCTTTTAAATAACCAAGAAATGAAACAAACAAGAGTAATAAATATTAAAAGTTAATTAATGAAAAAATATTGGAAAATCATTCACTACTCTGAAGACTAGATGAGTTCAACCATAGCTAGGCCCTTCTGAAACTTTCATATTAAGCAAATTTTCTATTTCCAGACCCTTTTTTCTCGAATCCACTTTATGCATTCTTCAATTAAAATTTATACACCTGTGTCTAACTTTTATACATATCATAAATAATGAGAATGCTCTTAAAAATATTTCTCTATGATCTACACAAGTGTACCAAGAGGTATCAAGATTTTCAAATGCTTTTATTAAATCGGGAAATATGTAAACTTTACAAATCTTTGGTAATTGTCTTTTAATTATGTAAATTGCATACCATACTAGAGATGACAGATTCTTAGAAGGATCATGTATTTTATTATTAATGAATAAAATAATCTCAGCTGTGAATAAGCCATTCTCAATATTTACATTTAATGTATTACAATAATTGTGTTCTTCCTGGAAACTAAAAGCCTTTATCAGGAGACTTATAGATGTTGAAACACTTCAACTGCTGAAACACCTGCGCAGCATATACTTCACCTGTAAATATATTATTATAATAAATTAATGTAATACAACAAATAGTCACCATAACTATATAGTATATGAACTAGTAACTACTGTAGATGAATAGTAGCTTATTTAAATATAGTAATAGTTTAGTATTATTAGGGTCTAGGTAGATAAGCCAATTAGGCCCTTAAATAGCTGTTAACATTATACAATAGATAGGCTATAGAGTTGATAAATTGTTTTTAATGGACTGAGCATTACATCGATAAGTGCATTCAAACAATAAACAAACTATTCAATTTTACATATTAGAATAGAATAGTATAATAATAAATAGTATAATAATATCAATAGCTTCAAGAAGTTTCCTTCTTAAAAACAATTTCATATTAAAGATAATATCCAAGATCTAAAGTAATATAATAATATCTTAATTTACTAAACTTAACAATATAGTTACCTTCATCATATCAAAAGAATTTGGATAAATATGCCTGTCAGTAAGTTTGTTAGCCTTGCAACACCTTTATGGTCATCTACTTTATACAACATATAAACATAATCCCATTGAGCATGCTGACTGCCAAGGAGCAAATTCTTTTTCTGAAAATTATTACTGAAACATTTCAGTAAATGAGGTACATCATACTTATGATAGGTTTTGTTCCCACTTCCCATTAACTTCATAATGGATAGCACTTGATGCATCATTGGCACTACAAAGTATATTTACCTTAGTATCAGAAATTAATGAATTTATTGCAGCTACATTGGCAGAAACCTGGTCAGATAGAGTTACTCTAGAAATAAACCGTTTATAAGAATTTCTATAAGTATACGTTATAAAATTGAAGTGCATCTTTATAAGGCATTCTATGGCATGAAAAACCTTCTGTTCCTTCCTGACAATTCGGAATTACAATGCTTTCCCATGATTACACAACATTAATAAAAAACCAAAAAAAGGAAGAGAAACACTAATGAAGAAATAACAAATTTTGTATCCAAGCACAAATCTTAACTATATCACTGATCTACATTAATCAGCACTTATCCACATTAATTAATACTAATCTACAAATTGATAAAATGTAAATTTTAAGTGTAAAATAATATAAAAAACGGCAAGCCCTCACACCCTAGTCCCCAGGGGCGAGTAATAACGACGGTTAAAACTTGAATATTTCAAAAATGACAAAATATTGCAGTGACGTCACAGTAGTGACGTATGTAACTGCGACAGAAATAAGTTGTTGTCCCACTCGTTGTCGCCAAATGTAGAGATAGCATGCTAGTTACCAAGCAAATGAAAGGGATAGATAGATGCACCAAGAGCTCGTATGGAACTAATTCATCTATTTTATTTGTCATCCATGGTATATATCTATACTCTTTGGGAACGATTGTCCAAGCCCGCCGAGGCCGACCGACAATGCGCGGTGCGCATGCGCACGCTCACTTAACCTACGTTACATTTATTACAACTATACTTTTAATTATTTAATAATTAGCGAAAGTAGAGCTGGTAAAAACTCTACTTGAGCAATTACAAATGCAACTTGAGCAGTGTTTTAGAACTTTGAGCAATTTGAAATATTGTATATAGTCTGTCAAGAAAGAGTAGAAAATAATGGGGGCGCCACCATCGGGCGTTGGCCACACCATTTCCGGTATACTATAAAAGATTTTGATACTTTGATTAAATGCAGTTTTGAAAATGCACTTTACCTAGGCAATACCATACCAAAATTCATTTCATCAATTGTAGCTGCGATTTTATTCGCTAAAAGGGTAAATATAATATATATGAATAAGTCATACACACAAATCATAATAATTTATTTTATAAAAGAGATTCTTCATCTAGGTATTCTACTCCCTCGACTCCCATGTTTTCATGGCTACAGGCTGTAGCCTACAGCCGGCGGCCTCAAAATCAGTTCCTTCATTTAAGTCTCCTACTCGCTCCATGTTTTCTTCCTCGAACTGTAGATTCAGATTTTCCTGATTAAATAATCCACAAAATAAGTACTTTCAAGTTTCATATTAATAATGTTGATTTAAAGCAAATGTAAAAATTATACTTTATTTGAAATAAGATTTAATTTAATATGTAATGAGTTTATGACCTACAGGTTACAATACAAACATGCGTTATGTATCAAATAATGTAATTATCAAATAATATATGCGGTCTATAACACAGCCTAAATGCGCTGTCATCGACGTTTGTAAACATAACCTAAGTGAAAAATGATTATTCTAAATATACCTATTATTAAGCTTGGTAGTGACCCATAATAGCTTTGGGTGGATGAATTATTATTTGATATAACACATTAAAACTCACAAATACCTGTCATTTCAGCGGTTCTTTTATAAACATTGTTCAGATCAGAAAGTATATTTTTGGCCTCATACTCCAAAAGACATCTTCTGTACACTCTATAAATTATTTCCCGAGCAGAACTTCGAATTGTTCTATTCATTTTCCTTACTTAAGACCAAATTTATCACGGTTTTTAGACTTTAATTTTTATGGAAACGAAATTGAAAGTTTTGTTTACGTAAAATTTCAGGAAATGTCAATTTTGTCAGAATGTTGCCACTATAAAAAAAAAATAGTTCCGTTTCTACACTTTCTTGACAGGCTATACATCAAAAGATATAGGAGTTTGAATATACAGATAAATTAAATTTTTTTCAAAGACTTTATTGATTTTTAATTAAATAATTAAAGGTGAGCAATTTGAAAGGGCTACGTAGTTAAATTGAGCTATTGAAAATCTATCGATTAGTATTTTTTTCATTGCAAATATCATAAATTTGCAGGCTGGGGTAGGGTAGGTGGACATCTGTCTCTAACCTAGTTTAGACTGGTGCACCATAAATTGAGCAGTCTATGTTAGATTGTCATTATCAACTGTCAAGTGCGGAATATAGGTACCTGTCAAGTGTCAAATTAAGACAAATTGAAATTAGGGCCATGTGCGTTTGTTTTTACATATTTATGTATTTTTAAAGTGACTTTTAATGTCAATTTTAGGGGTTGACAATTGATATAATATTTCTTAAATAAATAAAAACTTGAATACCGAAACATTAAGCGGTTTATACATAGTTGTAAATTTAAATTCGTAACAAAAATAATTCGTAATGGGTAAAAAAAGGAAATTTGCTGCAAATAACGATGATTTTGAATTTGATCCTATTCCTCGGCATTTAGTTACATCGCACATTAAGAAACAAGAGAAACGTCTCATAGTTATTTTGGAAAATGCACAATTAGAAACAGTAAAGGTAAGGTTATTTACGTAGGTACTACGATTTTTAAGGAATTGAAGGCCAGGATAGTCCCTTTAACCTTTTACGTTTCAAATTATAAATTTGTTACTTGTTTTTGAAATCCCAAATCAGTATTAATTTAATAACATTGTGCTTTTACAGGCTGGAAATAGTTTTGAGCTTTTAAACTGTGATGATCATGCACATATCTTGAGAAAAAATGATAGAGATCCTGGATCTTGCCGTCCTGATATTACTCATCAGTCACTTCTTATGTTGATGGATTCACCACTCAACAGAGCAGGGTTATTACAGGTCTATATACATACAGAAAAAAATGTGCTTATAGAAATTAATCCACAGACAAGGATACCACGAACTTTTAAAAGATTTGCTGGTCTCATAGGTGAGTATTAAGAAATCTATATACTGTTTAAATTTATATCCTTCTTCAAAATATATATAGTTATAGTTGTAAGTATGGCTTAGTATAACCAACTAATCCCTCCACAACTGGACACGCTGGCATGTCAGTTAACAATAAATTTCTTAGAATTTTAATTAATTTCTTAGAAATTTACCTGGAGGTGTTAATGGATTTTGGTATTGTATTTTTATGAATGCAATATTGTGTAAATTAATGGGACACTATAGCAAATGAGAAATCATTAACCCACTTCCAAAAAGGAGGAGGTTCTCAATTCATTGGAATCTTTTTTTTTAGAATTTATTTGTTTCTTACTTATTTGTTTTCAATAATTTGTTAATTAAGTGTATTTTGTTTTTCATATTTCAGTACAACTTCTACATAAATTTGCAATCCGAGCATCTGATGGTCCTATGAAGTTATTGAAAGTTATTAAAAATCCAATAACCTCACATTTACCTGTTGGTGCAAAAAAAGTTACTATGTCATTTAGCTCAAAAGTTGTCCAGAACTGTAGAGATTTAGTACCTAAAGATGAACCTATTGTTCTCATAATTGGGGCCATGGCCCATGGAAAAGTTGAAGTGGACTACAGTGAAGATGTTGTATCTATAAGTAATTACCCCCTGTCAGCAGCTTTGGCTTGTGCCAAGCTATGTTCAGCATTTGAAGAAGTTTGGGGGGTTGTTTAACTTTTCAGTGTACAATATAATCTTGAATTATATTATTAAACTATGCTAACATTTCTAAAAGGTTTTATTTTTTATATAATTGTTGTATTAAATTTGTATTTGGATTGTAAAATTTAAGCTGCAACAGAAGAGAGAAAAGAGAATAAGGAAAATGAATAAATATATTATCATTTATATGCTCAACATTGTATAGATCCAGGAGCATTAAAGCAAAAATGTTTAATGATAATTGATTTCATCTTTAAATACAGTGTAGTTAATATCAGTAGTAATACAATAATAATAAGTCAAACTGACTCATTTAGGCTGTGGTGGCCAATCGCACATGTTTAGTACATGTGCTCAGGAGATATTACAGTGCACAAAATATATACATGCAAATGCAAATTCACTTTATATTTTTTTCACTATCAAATATTGGGAAGATGACATTTTTACATGACCGGTGGCAAGACACGCGCAGGAATGATGGCTTTATGTGCTTTCTGAGGCACAGAAAAAGGTTGATAAACAATGTTGATACTTGGTAAAACCCAATATTTACATAGAACCTCTGTAAATGCAGTCGTACAGGCTAGCCGTTTCAGTAGTAATATCTACATATGTTTCTACAGTAAGTAGTAATTAAAAAATATAAAATCTGTCCATTGTATGAATCCTGCTTAGACCAATTACTAGGTCATTTGTGGACACTGACGGACTTGCGAACCCGACAAGCTTATGTTTATAGATAAAAGATAAGATTGGATGCAGTAAGTTATTTGAATAGAAAAAGTTAAAAAGGTACTCAGACTAAAGAATTATACAGAATAGACAGAGTCTACAAAAACATGTCGAAGTCAAAAATAGTATTGTGTTTTGATGTTTAGGCTACTATTCTTGATTTTACCGTCGCGTACGTTAGTTTACTTTCTTCAAAGAATAAAGAAAACTTAATATAAGTGTCATTCGCTAATTTACAATTTTTGAGAAGAAAATATGAATAATAAAATTATATTTTATTAACGGCTTGCCCTCACTTTGCTCGGGTTCGCCTCTAGGAAAACAAAAACAAATCTATCCCAAGGGAACCGTACATTTTTCCGGGATAAGAATTAGCCTATGTGATATTCTGATTTATGAGCTATATTATTGTAAACTTTCATATAAAATCCACTCAGTAGTTTTTGGGTGAAAGAGTAACAAACATCCATCTATACAACCAGTCACATTTGTAATATTAGTAGGATTGCATTATTTAGCATCCCTTGAAAGAGAAATAGTACCAAACTTATTTATTGACTAGCATTGGCCGCGGCTCCGCCCGCGTTCAGATTACCAAAAAGCAAATTCTTACATGTTAGTATACTCTTACAATGCAGTTTTTTTATTTTCCCGCGGTAAAAAGTATCCTATATGTTGACCCGGATAACCAGCAATCTTCATACCAAATTTCAAGAAAATCCATCTAGTGGTTTTTCTGTGATGCGGTAACAGACAGACAGACAAAAATTCTAAAAACTATAGGTTTGGCCTATAAATCGATAATGTTTATTTCAATAAGATTTTCCAAAAAATATTTAATGTACAGATTCCGCTTCGTTACAATTTTATTATATGTATGGATATTCTTCTTTATTAGGCATAATGAAATCCTTGAGCTATTTACTTATCACAGCAATGAATATTCTATAAATACTTTTATTATGTAGATACCTATATATTTTACATCATTATGTTCAATTCTATGACACTGTCATGAACAAATTAAAATTCGTTCATGGACACTGTCTACACTCTACATTATTACATAATCTGAGGCTTGGAAGTTATTAACTTCCTCTAAGTATATTTTAAGGTAGGTTTAATCTATAGCAGCCGAACGTCTCCTATTTTTTGTGGACTGTGGATACGTAAAACAGGAAACTAAGTTATATATTTATGAGTATTCGTTCGATTGCAGTAAAACTTAGCTAGTACCATAAAGGACTTAAAGGTATCATAAAAAAGTTAAATTGCTATCCATCGAGATTCGAGCTATTTTTCTAGTGTCATTAATCATTATCCAAAACGGTATTTTTAATTTAATAATAGATGGCGCTGTATCAAGTCACTAATCACAAGACAATTTTAAAACCATAAATACTAAAAATAAAATTTAAGCAATAGGTATTAGGTACTGCTAAGTTACATTAAAAGGCGGTTTTGTTTTAGTTATTTTCTGTAAATTTGAATTATTTTAATTCCTAACTTTAGTAATTTTTGAATAGTAACAAAAACTGTGGTTTATTTGCTTTTTTTACAAGCAACAAGTCTTATAAAAATATCGTAGTAACAGATAGGCATTCTTTTTGAAAATCTTTAAAAAAAATTCTTAGGAATGGAATTTTAAATAAAACTATCTTTTCGGATTTTGTCGCGGATTTATTTGTATTTTTGTTTCCCTGAAAAGATAGTTTTATTTAAAATGTCAAATATTCGCGTAAATCTAAGAAAGTTTTATAGGAATGGAATTTATTTGTGAAATTTCTATGAAACCACAATGAGCTTATTAAGTTCATTAAAAAAGTAACTGCGAAAATTGAATCACAATAATTTGAGAAAATATGGCATATCACATTATGTATTCATATAAAAATACATAGCAAAATTTGAGAATCTGACGTCGGACAAAAAAGATTAAAATCTTTACTTCACTAATATTGATGTAAATTGTAGAAAGTCTTTAGTCAACTAAATATCGATGACTAGGATTTTCATTTGCCTTGACGTGTAAAGTACTTAGTTGATGCAATTCAAATATATTTAAAACTAGCGGCTCACCCTCGCTTCGCTCGTGTTCGCCTCTAGGAAAACAAAAACAAACCCATCCCACGGGAACCGTACATTTTTCCGAGATAAAAAGTAGCCTATGTGTTATTCCAGACTATAATCTATCACTGTGGCAAATTTCATCCAGATCCGTTCAGCCGTTCTGGCGTGAAAGAGTAACAAACATCCATACTCACAAACTTTCACATTTATAATATTTATACAGATTATTTTTTCTTAATCTTAGGGTTTTGCACCTGTGATACCTTCACGTGTGAATAATATTCAGTATGATTTACCACTCACCTTACGTTGAAGGAAAATATAGTAAAAAAACTTGCACGAAAAACCTAAAACACCTATCTAATTTTCGGAAGACATTTATTGTGATGTCCGCCAACACTCATTTAGCCAGTGTTGTCTTTTGCCTAATCCCTTCGCATTGATGGGGGAGTGTCAATAACTGTCCGTATAATAGGCGAATCGATAAATATTATAACAAACTAGCGGCTCACCCTCGCTTCGCTCGGGTTCACCTCTAGAAAAGCACAAACAGATCTATCCCACGGGAACCGTTCATTTTTCCGAGATAAAAATAAAATAAATAAAATAAAATAAGTAACCTGTTGTTTGACCTGCAATATAAGGTATCAGCATGCCAAATTTTACTAAATTAGGTGCATAAGTTGTTGTGTACTGAGCTGTATAAGTTACTATATTTTTTAACTATCCCACGGGAACTCTTTAATTTTCCGGAATGAAAAGTAGCTGATTTGTTTTTGTCATGTATGAACTATATTATTGTAAAGTTTCATTAAAATCCAATCAGTAGTTTTTGTGTACTAAGCTGTATAAGTTGTTATAGTTTTTTAACTATCCCACGGGAACTCTTTAATTTTCCGGGATGAAAAGTATCTAAGATGTTGCCCGGGGATATAAGGTACCACCATGCAAAATTTCATTTAAATAGGTCCAATAGATCCGGAGATTAGCCCGTACAAAGAGAAAAACAGATAAACAGCTCGCTCGGGTTCGTCCATACATACGAAAATGTTGTATTATCTCTTTAACCATTTGTCCAAATTATATGCAGTAAAAGAGAAAAGTCTTTTATTTTAAACATTTTAGACGATAAATTTACTTATTTTGATAAGAATTCATAATTGTTGATAATATGACCAATAAACATGACCTACCGATATAAATTATTTTTTTAATATAAAAAACTACTTTTTGTGACTTAAATATAAAAGTTAGACATATGCTGTCGCTGACTTTTTTGTAGGCATTATTAAGCTCTACAACTTTTCTCTAGAACATAATCATATATCTCTCATCGTTAAGGCAGCGTTCGTAAGAAACGTTTTCGTTCGACCGTTTTTTCTCCGACTTACTTTGCAAATCCGACTACCACGAAAAAGCCTTTTCATTTTTCGGGTTAATATATAGCCTATGACACTCAGAAAGAACGTGGCTTTCTATTGGTAAAAGAATTTTGAAAATCGGTTCAGTAAGTCCAGAGATTACCCCCTACAACGTCACAAACTCACAAACTCACAAACTTTACCTCTTTATAATATTGGTATAGATAAACTGTTTTCGTAATAAGCTACTAGCGGCATGTTGTTACATTAAAAATATTATTTCCCATACAAACTTTATCCGCTCTCTCACCCGTTTCGGTAGTGAATTTCCATTTTACTTAGATATGTCAGATAGTAAAGGGCTGCCTAAACTTTAGACCTTTAAGGCCTTTCACCCACGAAACTATTAACAAGCGATTCGAATTTTGTGTGCAAATCCTTACTATATCTTGTAAGTAGCCGCCATACAAATTCGCTATGTTCTGCATACTACGATCGCGTCGATTACGCGTCAGATGTCGGTCGTACGCTGCTGGTGACCAGTCCTACGCTACTCGTGTCATATAAGTAGATATATGTACGTTGCATAAAAATGGCGACCAAATAAAAATTAAACATGTATTGGAAGTTACATTTTTTGGATAATCTATAAAAAGTATGAAACTTATTATCACAATTTCCTCGTGGTTTCCTGGCAGAGATGAATGTTCAAAATCTTTTTTTTCGTCTAATCCTACAATAAATATAAAAAAGAAAGTCCTCAGTCGCTGGAATCATTTTACATTGACTCGACTAATCAATAAAATATGAAGGAATTTTATCGAATTTCGATATAGTGTCTGT